TAAAGGATATAATGGATATATATAGTGAGCATGAATTGTAAAATACTATTTTATTAAGCAGAAACATTTGACTATTAACCCATTGAGATAAAATTTTCACCTTGACATCTTTTGTTTCTTCACACCTTCTTCGTTGAACTTCATTTTCTTCTGATTTGTCTGAAGTCCCGGCTTTAGTGCAGTTTTCTTCCTTGGCAAAAATATTCCTTCTTCGGCTCGATACTTTTTTTTTCAAGCAATCTTTTGGAAAATATCGTCATGAGACTGCTGTCAGCCTGAAGGAAGGAATTCTGATATAGATAAACAAGAGATGATTTTCACAATTTACCTAAAATTTTAGAATCAAAAATTAGGAATTGAATCAACTTTTCAAGTAGTTTCCTTACAACTTATTTACCCGAAAAAATGTCCGATTTATCTTGGAAATTATATTAAGTAGATCGCCTTATTTTTATGATTATTTTTAAATTATATTTTCAAACAGCGTTGTGTATTTTTAAAAGCAACATACAAAATTATTTATGATCTAAGTAAGATATTTGTGCTGGTAGCATTAAGGAAGGAATTCATTCAAAAGAAATAAATTTTTCCTAAGATAAATTAAGAATTCCACCTAAAGAGTAGTGAAAATTCAGCAAAGGTTGCATAAGATTTAAGGCGATAAAATAATTCCGTCAATGAGCTCAAAACCAATAGGAAGAAGAAGATTTTCCAGAGAGAGAGATAGGAATTGAAGTAAATTAGATTTACGTGCAAATTGAACACTCGGAAATGATTGTCGGAGGTTGAGTGTAGCAGGCGAAGTGGGTTTTGAGGAGGTGAGCAAATTTCGCCCCCTTTATTCATCAATTAGCAGCCGCCAAAGAGGCCAGAAGCATGAGGTGCGTCGGTGAATAATAAGCAAAGAGACTAGGCCGAGCCATGAATCAATGTGACCTAAAATCAAAATTTATTGCGCCTGCCTCAATTCGCCGATTATTGAAGTAAGAAGTAACTGCAGAATTTATGAAAACCAAAAGGTTACTCCTGTAAAAATAAAGTTCAGTTAGATGAAGTATTAGCATGGAGTAAGAAAAGAGGCTCTGGAAGAAATAAGTTAGAATTCCATTTACAAACAGGCCTGACTATGGCTTACTTTCAAGCTTTCGGAAGTCAATTAGATTTTGAGATTTGCAAAAGACATCTTTATTGAAAAAATAGAAGAAAATCAATATTTTTAGGGCCTGAAAGTGATTAAGCAACAGACAGAAACCCGACCACTACTTAAGCTCAGTTAAAATGGCAAAGATAAGTTACACAAAGTGTAGATTCAATAGTTGTTATACCTAGTTCACATTTAAATTTCTAGGGTATCTTAACCTTAAAAATATACCTTTCAATTGATATTGTTCATAATAGTGCTCTATTAGAAAACTTGACCTAATATGCAGTAGGATATGCGGCCAGATTCTGTAAGAGTCCAAAACAGACGCCCTCGTTTACACAGCTAAAATGAAAACATTTGAAAATATTTATGCTTACGAGGATATGTATAGCTTTAACTACAACATATAATAAGTTTGGAAAAAAATAAAATTACCAGACTAGGTTTATCATTTCCTGCTTATAGTGCTTTCATGGTTTTGAGGTATTTGAAAGCATTCATACCGATGGTGAAGCGGTCAACGTGCACGTCTGTCAAATGGAAGGTCATCATCGATGCGTTTTCACTGGTGTTGGCGACCAACCGCCATGGTTAATTGGATGTATCTGAGTTCTTCGTAATAGCAATTCCAGGAGACCTTTTCCTTTGTTCATGTAGGGCTTTTCCAACATCTCTTCGAATGGTCTTAGGCAAATTACTATTTAAGAGAGTTTTCTTTAAAAGACAAACACGAGAACAGTGAAATGAGCATTAAGTAACATTCTTCACGATTTTACTATAATAACACATGCTAAAATGTGTTAATTCACTTGTTAGAATACTCTTTAGTGACGATAATATTAATGCCACTTCAATCTTTTCAAATTGTATAGCTGTTCGTGGTGATAAACTTCAATTTACAGCAATTAAAATAGCATATTGAGATCGAAATCCTTGCATTCGAGGGTGGTGGGGGAGGGGGCGAATTTTGTGCTTATAATAGAAAGCGTGTCATCTAAGTAAACGAGCTCAATTACTCTGGTGTTATCGAAGTTAAACATTTGAAAATTACATCAAATAATACATTAAATGTGATAACTTGAAAAAAATGTTATAAGCCACGAATAGTATATAACGAAACAGCCCGAGTAGAGCAATGAGGACACGGAACCAGAGGTTCGGGTGTAAATATTGGCCTGATCAGGACATTTCGTCTTCTACAAAGCTGTCTCTTGGGCATTTGAAACTTGCCATCGCAGGGCTAGTTGGCCTCTGCCGTTGATAATTTATACCATTGCTTCTTGGACATTAATTTTATTGGTTCAAACATCTTATAGACTTTATGTTCTTTGTATTGTGATTTTATTTCCACCATTCTGCCTTAATATTACTTTTCGCTTATGTTAACACACACACAAAGCAGTAGATTCCAGGTTAAACTACAAGTACAGCTTCAAATGTGGGAGTTTTGCTGTTCAGTTTAAATAATCAGTTTGTGAAATATATGAATTACTAAAAATGAAAGAAGCAAAATATTCTTCCATTCCCCAAAATAAAAACAAATCTTCAGTCAAAAAAGATTTTCAAAGTTTCCTGAGGGCTAAATGGAAGAAGAGATATCAATCATAACCTGAGCTCATAATATTATTGAAGAAAAGATTTTATTCCAAATTGCATAGCAATTTATTCATCTATTAACTTCCTGTCTTTAATTTGACTATTAGCTGTTGCAAATTAATCCAAGTGACCCAGTGTAAATAAGTGAATTTCCTTGAAAACACAGCGCTATTTTGCAACCCTTTAAAAAGGTATCCTATTTGTATTTAAATTAACAAGATTTAAAAAATATGGCAATATTAATTTTTATCATTTCAATACATATATTTTAGAAATAAATGTTAACATGTGATTTGCTATGTTCTGATGAAATTGTAAGATAAAGAAGAGACC